TCCTCTCTCTCTCTCTCTCTCTCTCTCTCTCTCTCTCTCACACACACACACACACACACACACACACAGAGTTATCTAGTGTTACTCAGTGTACAAATACTTAAGACTGACCACTAGGGATTGGATAGCTTAACTTGAACTTGGCCAAAGAAAATAACTGATCCTCCCTCAGTCCTTCATACCCGGTTCTATTTTTAATGACTTACCTAATTATGTTCGGTTTTAAATCTTTTGATAGCTGTTTCTAGTAATTTAAGGAGGAGATACATCTGAAACTTCTAAGTAATTCTTTAATAGTAATTGGTGTTTAGGAGGAAAAAAGAGCAAGGGTCTTAGATCCATAAATACCCGGGTGGGCTTCTTGAACCAGGACAATCTCTCTGCCCTCTGTCTGCACCGCATCCCTAGCTGCCTGCTTAGGGGGCGGAGGAGCGCAGGTAGGGTGCCCATCACTACCCCTCGGGCGCAAGGCTTACCCACCTGGAGGCGGCCGGTCAGCGAGCTCCTTCCTACGGCCCTGGTCGGAGATGAAGCGACGGCCCTCTGCGGGGGAGACACGGCTGAGCTCTGACCGCCAAACCCCTGGCCAGGAGAGGCCGCAGGTGGCGGCCTGGAAGGTGACCCTGCCTCGGAGGGCAGCCCCAGTAGGGTTCGAGTATCCCTCTCCCTTTCCTTCCCCTTCTCTCCCCCCCTCACCCCCGCCCCTGCACAATTCCTAATTTTTGTTTTCGTCTTAGTTGCTTCTCCAGCGCCAGGTACCTTGTTTACAAAAACAAAAACAAACAACAACAAAAACCAAAACCACCAACGACAAAAACAAGTAGTTTTTTCAGTTAACCAACCAATGCCCCCTCCCTTATTTCCCTTTCTCCTCCCCTTCCCTTTGCCTTCCTTCCCCCATTCTTGAACCCTTCTCCTCCACTTTCTTCCCTCCCTCCCTCTCCCTCCTTCCACCTTCCTTAACAGGATCTTCCTTTAATCTGAAACCTTCTATGTAGCTCAAGCTGGCTCCTGCCTCAGCTTCGAGGGGGGTTCGAGAGTACTGTGAGCCCCGACACGGGGGTCCTCTCTAATGGAGTCTCTCTGGATATCAGGGCATCTTTCTCCGTCCCGCCTGCCCTCGCCTACCATTTCTGGATTGTATGAGATCCCAGCTATTTTCTGGAGCCAAATGTAACACTCTTTCCCCAGGCTCCTGCTCGGTGGCATCCGGGATTCCCGGGTGCCTCCCATCACTTCGGTGAAGAGAATGAAGAGTTTGGGACTTACGAGCGCCCTTCAGGTACAACATAGCTTGGGGGGTCCAGTTCCTCCTTTCAAAGAGTCTCTGCAGCCCAGAGGGGAGAGAAAAGCAGTTAAGGCAGGGTAGTGGCACGCACGGGAAGGAAGAAAAAGCCAAGACGCTGCACAGCTCCCGCCAAAGCTGTCCTCTCTGCATGCAATGCGATTACCTGCGGAGCACCGCTGGAGTTTCCCAGGACAGACAGCACCAGGAGAAGGGCTAAGGCTGTCATCACAAGGCTGCTGGGGCCCTACAAGAAACATCACCCAAACAGGTCCATCTGAATTGCGCCGGAGTTTTTGCCTTCTCCTCAAACCAGATAATAAGGTCTTCACTCTAGTATATGATCCTACCTTCTCGATAATCCACAGAGAGTAACTTTAAAAACTAGGAATATATGATTTTCATAACTTCACCCAAATTAAGAACTGGGGAATACGTTATTTTACTCATCAAAGCCAAACAGTTTCACTAAAGGCATATTCTACAAATATCCTGTCGCTAGAATGCTCGTTAAAGGTAACCTAGGTATAAAGGAACGCTTCAGCGGCTTACCTTCATGTTCTGTCCCTTTCCAGAGCCCCTCAATCTGTCCCTCTGCCTGCGAGTCTGCTAAGCCCCTGTTGCAACCTGGGGCTTTTTAAAACTCTTAGTATGAGTCTGTACAGGGAAGAGGAGACTAAGCGGGTGAGGTTGTCAATCTTCGGAACCAAGCTGATTGATGACTCCTCTGGGGCGATCTGGTTGGCAGAAATAGGACAATGATTGATGAGCGGATATTATTTGTTTAGGAACTGACCACACCAGCCAGGAGACATTCTGACTGGACCAGCATCATCACCTTTGTTTTTCCTGTTAGCCGGCCAAAGCACTCTGTCATCATCATTATTAACGAAAACAGACGGATAACGTAAGGAGCTATGGCTGAAGATGAATCACCCCAGTGAACACGAAAAGGTTAGGGAACCTCAGAGGAACTTGACATCAACCATTCACTTAAGTATCTGTCTAGTCAATGATTTAACAAATATGTGTTGAATGTCCACCTCCTCCTTCAACCCAAGCCTCTCCCTTGGTCCTAAGCTAAACTTCTAGTTGGGGGGGGGGCAGCCTCCAAGCTATTGACAAACAGTGCTGAGGTTAGTAAGTAAAGGCAGGTAAGATGACATTAAGGGAAAGTGCTGGGCTACTTTAGAGGGACTGAAAGTCAAAGGGGTTTAGAAAGAGAAGATTCTAAGTGATTTGGAATTAGTATTCCAGTTACTCACTACAGACAATTGAGAAGGAATACGGAGAACAGTAGACAGCTTGGTTTCTATCAGGCGGCGAAGGCAGTAACACTGTAGGGGCACAGGGAAGGGGGCTTGGCACTGGTTAGCGCATATGAAAATGTGGTCACAGACAAAAGGCTGTGATGGTAGGCTCGAGTGGCAAAGAATGGAGAGCTAGAAATGACTCTGGAGGTGGAAGATACAGGATTTCTCGGCAAATGAGAGCTCGAGAAAATCAGTCAAGGGGAAGGCTTAGATTTTTGCCTTAAGCACGGAAAAATGAAACAGTTTATAGGAGCAACAGAGGCTTCCTAAGGAAAGAAACAAATTATGAGCACACAGAAACGAAAATATGTATTTGACATCCAGGTGGGAATGCAAAACAGGTGACTGGAAACGCCAGACTTAGGAGCCCAGCACAGAGGCCATTAGCTTAGCTTCTGCCTTCCTAAACAAAGAACTGTAAGAATTCTTTAAAAGTGGGGGAAAGACTGGGTGTGAATAGGCTATCATCAAGAGGAAATGACAGAGCTATGGAAATAGGTGTACAGAAACTCAGCAGGTAAAAATCCAGAAAAAGAGGTGAGGGAGAGCAATCAGGAAATAGGAGTCCTTTCAGGGGGCCTGACGTCGAGCAGGTCAGAGAGTGTGCAGTGATAGTGAGAGCCCAAGTGAGGGGACACGGTTCAGCCGGTAACGGTGCTTGCTGCCACATCTAGTCCATGACTTCAGTTTTAGCCCTAGGACTCACATGGTGGAAAAGAGAACAGAGAACAGATTCCTGTAAAATTTCCTCTGATGGCATACATGGTGTTGTACACACACACACACACACACACACACAGAGAGAGAGAGAGAGAGAGAGAGAAATGTAGTTTAAAATTTGAGAGCTCAAGCTAGATGATGTGATAGCCAATGGATTTGGAATTGTGATGGTGTCTGAGGGTAGAGGCAAAATTGGAGTGGGTTAAATACCAACTAAAACATAAGGAAATCAAAACAAGCTTTGATAACTTGCAAAAGAGTCATATTTTGGGGAGGAAAAATGATGAGCCAGAGTGTTCTAAGCTGTGGGTTGTGGAATTATGATGTCATTGGGTGGTGGAGTTTTTCTTCTGTGCAGATAGCAAATGCCTCTCTACCTTTGTAGATTTCTGCACCCCCAGGCTTCTCTAGCGCGCATGTATGTTTGATGTAGCCTTTGGCTGGGACAGAAGGCGCCCCGGCACAGTGTGCACAGATCTAGTTTCTAGAGCGATGGTGACAGTGTTAGTGGTGAATTCCAGAGCTCAGGTCTGGGGTGTGATCATCTTTCCTTCCTGTCTTCTTGTTTAGATCAGTTAGATTTGTCATTATCTGGTGATAACAATTATTTGTAAGACATCAAAGATTATCAGGGCAATTGATAACAGAGCATAAAGATAAGAGAAAAAAGTAAAAGATTGTTTGTTACAGAAAATTTTTTTACTATGTGGAGATGTGTCACTGTGTTTGGTTTAATAAAAAGCTGAATGGTCAATAGTCTGGCAGGAGAGATAGGTGGGATTTCCAGGGAAAGAGAGAAAGAGGAGGGGGAATCTAGGCCCGGATTACAGCAGAGAGACTCTGAAGTCAGACATACAGTACAGAGCAGGGGCAACTGAGCCATGTGGTAGAACACAGATTAATGGAAACAAGGTAATTTGAATTATAAGAGCTAGTTGGGGACAAGCCTATGCTAAAGGCTGGCAGAGACCTGAGACTCTGTGTCTGTCCTAGTCAGAGTTTCTAATGCTGAGAAGAGATACCACGACCACAGCAATTCTTATAAAGAATATTTACTTGAGGTGGCAGCTTCCAGTTTCAGAGGTATACTCAACTATCATGGCAGGAAGCATGGTGGCTGGGTGTATGACAGTGTGCAGGCAGACATGTTGCTGGAGAATTCTACATCTCTATCCAAAGGCATCAGGAATTGGACTGAGATAATGGGCTTATCTTGAGCATATGTGAGACCACAAAGCCAGCCTTTACAGTGACATACTTCTTTTAACAAGGCCACATGTCCTAATAATGAGTGGCATTATTTTTCAAACCACCTTTGGTAGCCTTTTTTTTTTCAAACCACCACATTCTACTCCCTAGTCCCCAAAAGTTTGTCACCATAGTAATATCATAATGTAAAAATGCATTCAGTCCAACTTCAAAAGACCCAATAGTCTATAACTGTCTCAAACTTATTTAAAAGGCTATAAAGTCTGTTCTGAGATTCATGTGATCTCTTAACTGCAATCCCCTATAAAATCAAGATCAAAAGGCAGATCACATTCTTCCAACATATAATGGCACAGAATATACATTACCATTCCAGAATGGAGGGAAGGGAGCATAGTAAGGAAACACTGGACCAAAGAAAGACCAAAAATGAACTGGGCAAACTCCAAACTCTGCCTCTCCATGCCCGATGTCAAAATGTTCTTCAGATCTCCAACTCCTTTCAGTTTTGTTGACTGCAACACACTTCTTTCTCTTAGGCTTGTTCCACTCCCTGTTAGCAGCTCTCCACAGCAGATATCCCATGACTCGGGCATCTCTAACATCTTAGGGACTTCAAGGTAATCCAGGCTTCACCTTCACAGCTTCACTCAAATGAACTCTCCAAGCTTTCATTCAAGGACATCCCTGACACGTGCCTGACCTCAGCAACTTCTTTCAGCATTGGAGGCAAATTGCATAGCCCCTTTCATCTATTCTTAACTCTAGAACCACATGACCAAAGCTGCCAAGTTCTGCTGTTCACTGGAGCTGTAACATGGCCCCTTCGTTCAATAACATCTTCACCAACTTCCTGTTTTTGATGGTTTCCTTCACAGATTGACTGTCCTGAAATTGGATCTGTAGACCTGGCTGGCCTCAAACTCAAAGATCTGCCAACCTCTGCCTCTCATGCACTGGGATCAAAGACATTCACCACTACACCCAGCTCTAAGCTTTTCTTTAATTCCTTTTCACAAGTTGAAAACTAAGCAGGGTAGAATTTTGCTCTGAGGTCATGACTCCCTGTATGCCATTTCTTAATCTGTTTATTTCCTTGAATACAGAATTTAGCTCTATTCCACTTCCTGGTGCTCTTTTTCTAGTCAAAATTTACATTTTGTAATTTTCCCTACTCAGCTTTTTCCTTTTTATTATACCTCTTCTTTAGAGTTAATACTAGTAACCATATAACATTCTATCCTAGGAGTTTTTGAGATTTCTTCTGCCAAGGGAAATAATCCAAACTCTTCACTTTAACCTCAGACAAAATTTTCGTACAAGGGCAATAATCAGCAACATTTTTCACCAAAATATCACAAGATCAATTTGTAGACAACATCCTCAAGTTCTTGTCCTCTGAAACCTCTTGATCCAGCCCCCACCCCCAGTTCAAATCACTCAGCACCACTGTCTTCCAGGCTCCTACTGATATGGCCCATTAGGCAGCAGTTAAAACACTCCTGTGCTTTCCTAACCCAAACTCCCAAAAGTCCAAATTTCTCTAAACAATAGCATGGTCAGGCCTTTCACAGCAATACCCCACTCCTGCCTTAGTTAGGGTTTCTATTGCTGTGAAGAAAAACCATGACTGCAGTAACTCTTATAAATGAAGCATTTAGTTGAGATGGTAGCTTACAGTTTCAGAAGCTAGTCCATTACCATCATGGTGGGGAATATGGTGACATGCAGGCATCCATGTTGCTGGGGGAGCTGAGGATTTTACATCTTGATCCAAAGGCAATAGAAGTGAACTGAGATATTAGGTGTGGTGTGAGCATATATGAGACCTCAGGACCACCCCCACAGTGACACATTTTCTCCAGCAAGACCATACCTATCCCAACAGAGCAATACCTCGTAACAGTGCTGTAGTGTGAGGGCCTGCTTGTTGGGGTATCTGTTCCCACCCGGTACCCCACAGCCAGCAAGTCCCAGAGAAAATTAATCACACAGAGATCTCTATAAGTTATAAAGCTGATTGGCCCATTAGGTCAGGTTTCTTATTAGTCCTTATAACTTATATTAATCCATTATCATTATCTATGTTAGCCACATGGCTCAGTACCTTTCTCAGCGTGGCAGCTCACATGTTGCCTCTTCAGTGGCCTGGGCAGGAATGGAGAGGGAGCTTCCTGCTTCCCAGAATACTCCCAGTCTATTTGCTCCACCCCTACTTCCTGTCTGGCTTTCCCGCCTATACTGCCTGCCTGGCCAATCAGCGTTTTATTAAAATATGATTGGCAGAATACAGATAATTCTCCCACACCACAGTGCCACTCCCTTTGGGGCTCATTTTCTTTTAAGCTACCAGTGTCCATTGCATTATAGAATAGAACCTTCAAAAATGTGGGTCAAAAGTAAAACTTTCCACTCAGTAAGCTGTGTCACCTTCATCGTTCATTACAGTGGTAGAGAACTAACTACCACAGATAGGTAGTGTGTAGGTGGCAGAAATTCATTATTTAGCTCTACAGGGTAGAAAGTCAGCATAGTTAGGTTCCAGTGAGGACTTTCTCTGCTGTGTCCTCATATGCTGGAAGAGGAGAAGGACATGTATTTCATCAGTCCCATTGCGTGTGTGTGTGTGTGTGTGTGGTGTAGGATGTTCTTCTGTGCACTGTGAATATGTGTCGTTCTCATTGGTTAATAAATAAAGCTGCTTCAGCTTACGGCAAGGCAGGACAGAGCCAGGTGGGAAATCCAAGCAGATATACAAATAAAGAAGAGTGGAGTCTGAAAGACTCGAACCAGCTGCCAAGAAAGGAAGACATGTAAAAAAAAATGAGATACAGAGAAACCTTGTCTCAAATCCCCCTCCCCCCAAAAATGAGATAACGCCACAGCCACATGGCAATACGTAGATTAACAGAAACAAAGAGGGAAAGGAATTATTTTGGCTCACAGTTCAAACACACAAACCATCACGGTGGGGAAGCCAAGGTGGTGGGAGCTGAGAGTAGCCGGACCTGTGACGTCCACAGAGATGCACAGCTGGTCTCATGATATCCGTGGGCATGAGAGCAGCTGGTCACATTTCATCCAGAGAAGCAAAGAGCAATGAACACTTCTGTTCGACTCACCTTTTTCCTTTATACACAGTCCAGGATTGGAGCCCAAGGAATGGTGCCACCCACACGGGGTTTCCCACCCTGGAAAACCTGATCAAGACAATCCCCTCCAGTGTGGCCCCAGTGGATAAATCTACATTAGAGCTCCAGCACCCAAGGCATGGGGGACATCTGGGAAAAGGGACTGGACAGACTGTAGGAGCCAGAGTGCCGTGAAGTACGCTGTGAAACAGTCTCGCCAAGAAAAGACCGCACAAACAAGACTGTAACAACACAGGATGAATGGTGTACTAACACGAAAGGGGGACATTTACGCGGTCCCGCCCCTAGGCACAGGATGGCAGCTAACTAATGAGTGCTGGGAGAAGAATTAGTCCTTCCCAGGCGTGAACCTCCTTATTGGTTGTCCAAACCAGAGTGACTAGCCTGGAAACCATTTATACAACAAAACAAAAATGGACTCAGCAGATTGTATTTATATATATTTGTGATACACATACATATGTACATAGCAAACATAATCAAAGAAAAAGAGGTTATTGACTTTAGAGGGGAACATGCAAGGGATTTGAGAGAGGGCAGTTTGGAAAGGCTGGAGGGAGGAAGGTGTGGGACAAGTGATATAATTCTATTTCAATAAAAAATACTTCCTAAAAAAAGGAACAACAATAGGAAGGTAACCTCCCAGGGCATGCCAAGGGCTCTGAGCCTCATCAAGTTGACAGCTGATCATCCATCATAGTTAGTGGGACTGGCAAATAGAAGTTTATTTATATGCAGAGATTTGTGGACGGTTCCACCCATCAGAGCAGCTAGAGCTGCTGAAGCGGTGGTTGGACCCACTGCCTTAAGGGACAGATTAAATGAAGCACGACGGGCCAAGGAGCCAGCGTAGTGGGTACAGCAAAGCTTGGCAAATTTGAGGGTCTTAAAGGTGAAAAGCTGTCTTCTAACTTATACATGTATGCTGTGGCCTATGTACTCTCTCTCTCACTCTCTCTCTCTCTCTCTCTCTCTCACACACACACACACACACACACTTAAAGAAATGTAATAAAACATCTTTTTTTTTTTTTTAAAAAAACCACATGAACGTTTTAGGAAGAAGAGCAGGAAAAGGAAATCACCAAGATCACCAAGAGAAACTCTCAGTCCGAGGAAGATTAAGTACACCCTCAGTTTATCTGGTGACTAGGTACTTCCGGTCCAAGGAAGGATAAGTACACTCTCAGTATATCTGGTGACTCGGTAAGTAGGCGTTTTACGTCAAAGCTGCCATTTTCCATCTTGTTGGACAAATGAAGGGAATGACTCTGACATGTTATCAATATCACAGTCTCATCACGGACAGCATGCCAGATGCTGCTCTGAAAGGCTGGCAGAGGGCACCATCTCCAGGAAGACACTGTTGCCAAAGACAGAGGCTCTTCTGAACCAAGAGAGGGGGCCCCACTGTTTGGTTCAAAATATGACAGGTCAGAATACTGAACCTTCTGCTGACAGTATGCACAGGCAGGTTGTCAAACAGGCTCTTATGCCTTCTTTAAAGGAATATTCATTAAAGAACATTTTTGCCTTTGTCACTAACATAACTTGGATTTTGAAACTTGGCTCTAGGATGCCCAGATTCTATTTGAACAGCAATCGTCGGGCACTGTTTAAAGTGCCATCCCCTCAAGGTATATATATTTGAATTGACTGGATGCTCGGCTAAGGGTAATGTCAGTACCAGTGCTTACACAATCGCTGAAATCAGAGCTGCCTCACAGCCTCCAGCACATGGGAAGAAGCGCTTAGAAGTTCATTTTTTTTTTTTTTTCCAGGAAGAAGGCTCCTCATTCAAGCCTAGCAGTAATTGGATTACAACCAGAACCTTACACCTAAATTCCAGGATTTACAGGTGTGTACCATCATGGCTAGCTAATGACTTCGTTAGACCCTGTGAAACCAGAGCTAAGACAAGGCATTACTGGCCACACTGTAACCAGGGCTGCGTACCTATTGCACTTCAGCCCCAATCTACTGCTGTTGAGAGCTGCCACTCCTATCAGCCTACCCAGCGATGAACTGGGACTCACTGGGCCCCTTTAGTCCCCTTCCCAGTGCACATGGAGAAACATCTCCTTTTTCTTCTTTCCCTAATTATCTTTTCAGTGGGGTATTGACACCAGCTGCCAGCTCTGTCTTTGCATTAACACTACAATCACCGCATCACACTGGAAGGCTCATGCCCAAGGGTTCCACTGCCTCTCTTAAACACTTACACCTGCCAGGGATTGAAGCACGCTGGTGTTTACAGAAAATTCACGCAGGGAATAAGTTTACTTCATTACTTTCCCCTTAGGAGAGTTCTTTACCAAATCAACCCTAATTACAAAGTCCAACCCTTTATTTCACAATGGAAAGGAGGTTGACCTGAGAACCAATGATTGACGCCCATTTGGTGACATCAAGAGTGATTTCCATTGCCCTGGCATCTTGCTTTCCTAGGGAGAAAATGCTGCTCTTGGTGATCCATCCACTCCTCCAGCAAGTTACCCTGCGTAAAGTTCAGGATGTGAAGTAGAGGTTCGCCTCATTCAGTGTGGCTGAGAGACCTCTGCTTCCAAAAAACTGACTTCAACACACAAGGGAATGGAGGGGACAACACAAAGATGGATAACCGCACTTCCAATGCTTCAATATTTATGTATGAAAGGCCAGGGATGGATATACATAAGAGACTAGAGCCTTAGGGATCACCTGCTGCCCAATCAGTGTAAAAGTAGCAAAGGATAGTAGGAGCCAAAAGACCCAGCTGTCTTGGTCCAAGCAGACAGGTAAGGGGAGACATGCTGGTGACATTTGGTGAGGTCCTCACAACTGAGTAATATCACAGGAGTACTGCAGCCAGTAACTTTCACACATCCTACTTCAGTGACCAACAGGACTCAAGTTAAAACTTCTGGCTCCAGGACAAGGTTTGGGAGATGCGCGAGATCATCATCCATCCATCCATCTGCCCATCCATCGATCATTTATCTATCAAATCACCTATCACCAATTGCTGTGGAATAATCATGTACACAGAAAATGTGTTGCTTGGCTGATAGCTAAGCAGGGTTTTCCGGGCAAGAATGTTGGGAAGAAGGTTGGAGTCATTGGACTTGCAAACAGATGCAGAAGGAGCAAGATATGTTAGAGAACAGGTAAAAAGTCATGAGTCATGTGGTAACATGTAGATGGACAGTTATGGGCTAATTTAAATTGCAGAAGCTAGTTACGAACAGGCCCAAGTTCTCGGCTGAGCTTTCGTAATTAATGTCTGTGTGTAATTTGGGAGCTGGCTGGCAGAACAAGGAAAGTCTGTCTACAACTAATCAATCATCTATCAGTCATGACAATGTTGCATTATTTAGTCCAGGCTGGCCATGAAGTCCTGGCAATCCTCTTATTTTAGCCTCCCAAGTGGTGAGATAGATACTTAACAGACTCAAGATGTCCAGTTACCAGTGACAATGAACTACAATTAATATTTAATATGGGACTTAGAGCAGGTTAGGGGTGCACTGGCCCTCTTTTTTCTTATAACAGAATTTATGATGAAAATACTATGGGTGAACATTCACTGCATCCAGGTCACAGGTATTCATGGGTAATGAATTCCTTTCCCCAAATAAAATATTTTGAATTCTGGAATTAAAGACAGCAACTGCAATGGATTTCCTTCAAAAGCTCACATACACATACTGATAGAAAACCTACAGTGAGCTTGTTATAGTAACAATGACAGTTCTGACTCTTGAGGCTTACAACAAAAAGAAAGGATTGTCTCCCAACACCCATCCCCTCACCCTACAATAAACATATTTCTTGAAGAGCAAAGAAAATCACATTTTGAGGGACACTCCCCCAAATTAATGCTGATAGCATTTTTTTTTTGTTCTCCATATTGTGATGTCACTGGGATCAACTAGGAGACACCTGTGAACAGGCTTGTGAGGGAATCTCTTGAAGGTTTGACTGAAACAGGGAACACCTTCCAAGAATGATACAATTACCAGACCACATGGTTGCCAGGAACCAAGGCTGGATCCTCTGCAAGAGCTCCAAACCCCTGGGCCCTCTCTCCATCCACTCAATATTCTTTTATGCACATTAATAGTTTCCAAATGTGTTTTGCTAATTTAGTTGTTGTATGACTGTATTTAAGCAATTTAGAAATTAAAATGTCAAGGCCATTTGACAAACTTGCACTTAGGCCCAATTTTTTAAAGAACGTAGATTATTTTATAAAGCTATTTAAGTTTTAAAATTTCAAAGATAAACTTGACCACCAATGAATAGAAAAGTACCTTTTATTGAGGTAAGACAAGTGTATTTACAATCCGCCATTGTTAGAGTATATAATTTGACCATGAGACTTCTAAAGCAGCTGAACTCCAGAGAACTGTAAGGGAAACATTGCAGGCATGTTTCTGTTACAGAAGATACATTTGAACATGACAGAAACACTTAAGGCTGAGTACTGGAACTTTTCTTCCATCTGGGGGAATAATCAAAGGGTTTTTTTTTGTCACAAAGACAGAGGCTGATTTTAGAAGGGGTGGGTGAGGGAACCCTCAACAAGAGGGCTTACAGAAGTCAAAAGGCTGGTTTCTTTAAAAACAGAGCCTCTTCAAGGTTCTGACTAAGAAGTGCAGTGTTGGCAAGCAGTCCCAGGTCCACTGCAGACTGACCTGAAACTGAAAGTCATCCCAGTCCTCTGCCTTACTAAAGCCTATGAGTTTCTCACATCTTCTCAGGTTCAGTGTTTCCTGAAACCAGAATGTTGAAAGGGGATGTTTGCTGTAGTGCAAAAACCACTTTGATAGGGTCATGTCTATGTGGATTTAAATGGCAGACTCCTGTTCTAACAGAGTGACACCTAGCCACTGTAAATCACGTGGGCCAAAGCCTGTAAGTCTACAGGGCACCTCACACAAGTCAGTTCTCAAAGCATAGCATTAAATTCCAGGAAGGTGTGACTTTTTGATGAACATCAGACAACGCCAGGTCTTTTATTATCCCATGAGCTATTGAGGTAGGATTCTCCACTTATTGAGTTTTCACAGGTTACACCATAAGGTCAGATGCCAAGTACCAAACATGACAGTAATCCACAAGAATGAACCATCTCACTACAAACCAGTCCTTCCTTCTGTAGACCGGCAAGGCTGGGGATTCTCCTGGCACCAAGAAATTTAAAAACAACAAACATTGTAATTGTAATGTCTTGTAGAAATGGTTTGTAAATAAATACAATTTCAATTATGATTTTCTGCATCAAAAAGCTTTGAGACTGCTAAAAATAAATAGTGCAATCATTAGTGGTAAGATAAATAGTAGTACGTCTGAGGAAGTGCTCCCATGTCCAACAGGAAAACTACCACCCTGGGGAAGGAAGGAAACCATGGTTGCTCCTGTTGGCAGACTAGCAACAGAAGGGAATGAATGACAAGATTGCCCCAAGTCAGCATCACGCATTTGAGGAACCATGGTCAGTTTAGTTATGATGTAATAGTTTTTACATGTCACTGGGGGTATCTTCTCTCCTAACTCAAGATGGAGAACAGTGCAGGCAGCAGATGAAGTGCATGCTCATTTTTGGATGTTACAATAAAGCTGAAAATCATGTTACAATAAGAGGAAAATCATGATGAAATAAACAGCACTCTTCACAGTCACAGAACCAAGCCTTTGACATGCTACAGACTTTCAGTGCCACCACAAGGTATGAAAACCAAGGTGGGAAACTGTGGCCAAATGTCATCAGAACACAGGAGGAAGAACTACAGCATGACATGGGAGCAATCATCTGGTGTGCATCACTTAAGATCTCCAACACCCTTGGCAGAGACTACTCCACGGTCAGAATTCTGTGCTTGGCGTCTGTGTGCAGCAGATAGTACGAACACACCCAGGCCACACTCAAGAGATCTGCGCATCCAGAGTGTTGTAGAGTCAAGAAAGCACTTGGTCAGCTATGACTGAAGAAGTAACAGCTCAGAATGACCTCTGCGTATCCCAAAAAGGAGTATCTAGTTTGGATTTTTATCTGGCTCCAAAATATAAAGATTCAAAAGGATCACAAAAGTTTTATTTTCATGTTTACAAAAAAAGTGATTCACACATGAAACTGGGCTTTCCCTGGGCTGATACACGGAGACGACATAATCTAATCCAATTCAGGCATCATTATTGGCGACCCAGCACACCTAGAAATATCTGGGCCATCAAAATAGACATTATATAAAAAAAAATCAAATGCCTATCTATGTTCCTGAATCTTCTAAAAAAAAGAAAAGTAACAGACACCATGGTTCTCTATGAATGGCTGTTTCCCACGTTGCAGCAAAACTAAGAAACAGCCTTCAAGTCACTAAGCATCGTCAAGGCTTCATCCTCTCCAGCCGCGGATCTCAGATCCTGACCACAAGCCTGCTGTCACTGCTTCTTCAGCAACTGTTGAAACTTTGGAGGGTGTATGTTTTAGACTTCTGGAAGGATTTTACAAGCTAGTTTGTGAAACTTAACTTTGTGCTGGATATTCTTCAAAGGGTTTTATAAATAGTAAAGCATTTAAAATCTTCAGTTCCCTCGCTGTTATACCATATTGTTGCTTTCTCCAACTTTATCTACAAACTGTAAGGAGAAGAAAGACAAAATTAAAGGGAGCTCAGGCATCGTATAGCACTGAATCAACACTAAATGCTGGTTAAAAACAGCCAGCTTTATAAGACTTGCGGGAAGTCAAGGCATGACTGATAGTGGTTAACTGGATCGTGTCCACCACCATCTTCTTAGGTGTGTATAAAATTGACTTTTCTAAAAGTTGCTTTTGCATGACATGTTATACACATGAATTTAAGGGTGAAACATGAAAAATGCAACACAATGGATAAAGTAATGTATAAAATGACACTGACACTGCTAGCTCAACAAAAAGAAAAGACTGAAATGCCGGCCACTCATGCATTAATGAACCCAATAAGATATTTCCACTGACCATTCCTGTGGATCTTCTGGGCCTATGTGGTCTTTGGACAAACAGATTTAACTCAATTAAGTTCAGTAATAAACAACAGCTATCAACTAAAATATGCTAAATGAGCATTCTGGACATCATACTGAAGGGGGCAAAGACACTGAGACATTCAGTGTTGTCAATATAAACTCATAATTGCCAAATATGAACTTCAAAGAACAGTCATGTAAATGGTTATTGACTTCAGTTACTCCATCCCAAATAGAAACAGTTTGTCTTTGGCATCCCAGATGGTGATGTATAGCTTACAACAGTGTATATAATCATGGCAAAGTAGGGCCCTCTCCAGTTCTAGCCAGCAGGGCCTTTGTACTCACGTTTCAGATCTGTTACTTAGGTACTGACTATAGACCCCTACTGTGCTGGCTGCACAATTACACAATTACTACCAAACTCACAGCCATGGACACAATAAGCTATTACTACTACAGGTCTTAGTAAATTCAAATGCCATTCCCTATATAAACAATATTAAACTGAGCTTGGTAATAAGGATAAATGGAGCCAGGGTCCACTTCGCCCCGAGCAAGGTACCAACCTTTGAAATGATCATAAACAGGTGCCTGACAATATTTGTGGATTCACTAGAACCATAAATTTCAGTGGTTAAAAAAAAAAATCAATGCAAATACACAGTCTGTGTCAGGATGCTCTGCCTCTAAGACTGAGCTGGTATGGAAAGGACTGGGCTTACAGTGGTGTTCGTTTTCCTTGAAGTATGTGTTAGCTGAGAACTTGGTCAACACTGCAGATCAATGGGATTAACTACCTTTTGTACTTTAAACTAGTTGTTTCTTTCCATATTTTAGGTTTACTTAGTTTTCAGACTAACAAGATGGCTAAAAAGAACTCATTTAGAATTGTCATGAGAAAGACCACATCTCTGGGGTCAGTTAGATATTACCCTTCATTCACCGACTTGGGAAAATGGTTGGCATTTCTATTGTGAGTGGCAGGTGTGATGCTGGACCCTGGGGAAGAATGGCTAGTAGCCATCTGTCTATCTCTGCCCTGAAGGACTCTGATCACAGCTCTGGAGCTTTCCATCTGATAATTAAATCAGGTAAATGCTACGACAGAGGTGTGTATAGGGAAGGCAGGTAAATCCTGAAAGGGTTCAGAGATCCCACAATAGCTGGAGCCTCCATGGCATGTTAGTACTGTGCATCTACAGAATGCACCCTGAATGCAGGAAGGGTTTCACTTATCAATCAGAGTAACACCAAAAATAGAAAACAATACTGAAAATAGCACGCTCAAGCAAAATGTCAGGTTTCACAGATCTACAAATGATTAGTTTCTGGTTTTCCCGGTAACCAGAATCCATGACACAATCATCTATATCATAATGACTTAATCACAGCAATGAGTCAAGCTTCAAGTAAAAAGGCATTACAATATATTTATTCAGTTGGGTGGTCTTTAAAATGTATTGCTAAACATGTGACTACTTACCGATCTGATTCCAGGTAGATTTAGGAGGGATCCAAGGACAGGCACTCTTCTGATAAAACCAACGACCACAGGAAAGAAGCCCCTGGGAGGCAGAAAACAAGGTTATTAGACTTCAGTGCTTTCTACCGGGGAAACAGCAACTTCAGTCACCAGTTACAACAAATGCAGCCAACAATTTGATTACTGCTAAAATGGGTGTCCAGAGCACAATGGGACTTGGCTGTGTTGTGATCAGATCATGGGCTTTCTGTTCCACTGCTGACGACAGGGGTGTTGGGGAAGGGAGTAAGCAGAAGATACGAGCTGCTGAGACTGCATGCGCGAAACCATGAATCCAACACCAACAGAACACCTAGCAGAGGGTAAGTCTCTCAGCTTCCCAGTCTTTGGTGTGGATACCCGCCCACAGAAGCGAAACAGCCTCTAATTAGCTTATCTGTGGGTCAGTGAGGACACTTCTAAGCTGAACAGTTTAAGAACACACAGATAACATGTACCTGGTTCTTAAAATGCAGTTCATAGGGACGAAAGTACACGAGAGAGGTCAGGAGCTGCCAGTTTCACCTCTGAGCCCACAGGAAGGGAACTGACCCCAACCCAGAGGAACAGCTCTTACAGTCCAACTAGCACATGTTTCAGAGATATACAGCTGCTTTCTTAGTAGTATCAAGTTCAAATGGATATTTTTAAAGGTATCTTTAAAAACACAAACATGATTTCACGTGTTGCTACTGAGGGTTCCATGTATTTGGAGAAAGAACAACAAAGACCCTTAGCTCTAGATCTCAAGCCAAGACCCTCTCAGAATAAACAAAACTCAGCAGAAGCACAAGGGTTTTACCAGAAGCCTCTTTAAACAATGAAGCTGAGGTATTAGTGCAATTCACCAATACAACAATGGCAGTCCTTCTATAACGGCATCGAGGGCCAACCTGGGCCATTTAACTTCACTGCTGGAGACTGCAGCTGCCAACATCCACTCAGTGTCTCACGTTCTCAACTTTTCTTTTGTAAGATGCATTTGCCGAGAGCCGCCCTTCCTTCCTCTCCTTCCTTGGCCCAGTGATTCTTATTCTTAACTCCTCTCTGCCTTCTTTTTCCTTTTCCCCCTTCAATGGCAGCAGGTAGTGTTCAATTGCCTAACTTTATAATGGGTACCAACTCTGAGCTCTTTAACTATTTTTCCTGCCTCCAGTTGTTCTTTCTGAAATGCACCCTCAAATTTTTCTTGTATTAATGCGTTTGGGGCATGTGGCACATGCTATGACATATGTGGAGCGCAGAGCACACTTAAAGGAGTCAGTTCTCTAACTACACCATGTAGGTCCTGGAAATCCAACTCAGCTCTGTCTTCAGGCTTAGTGGCAAACACCTTTAGCCACTGGTGATCTCACTGTATGTCATTCTGACCAGAGAGCAGTCTCCCTAAAGATACCTACCTGGCTCAACTCATTTCTGGCTTAAAAATCTTTGTGTCCCTGCCTCTCTGCTGCCGACATGGCTCCTTAGTATAGCATGATTAATACAAACTCAGAGACAGATTACTAGGGTTCAACCTGAAAGTCAGGGAAGTAAAACAGCCAGTCACTGGCCCTTACCTCTATCTCAGTCTGAAATAGAAATCCTGCCTCCGGGAATCTCAGAATGAGACTGTGTGTGAGAGTTGTTTCCTCCTGTCTTATAATCCTCTCTAGGGCTGGAATTAAAGGTATGCAACACTACTGCCCGGTTTCTATGGCAAACTATTGTGGCTACTGGGATTAAAGGTGTGTGTCACCACTACCTGGTCTATAAGGCTGATCAGTGGGGCTGTTTTACTCTCTGATCTTCAGGCAAGCTTTACTTATTAAAATACAAATGAAATATCACTACACTTCCCCTTTTTGTCTAAAATAACAAAACAAAACATTTTAGTCTAACTCTGACAATAAGTAACTCATTTAGAAAGGTCTGTAGCCAAACAGTGCTGTAACTAATATAGTTTTTGTGTGATTATTCAGGTCTGGGTGACTGTGAAAACAAATGGGCAGTCTGTCTGCAGGCCCAGTCCATAGTGGACAGCGCAATCCCTGGGCTGCTGGTCCTGGGTTCTGTAAGAAGGTACACTGAGCAAGCCAAGGAAAGCAAGCTTGAAAGCAGCTCCCCTCCATGGTTTCTGCATCAGCTCCTGCTTCTAGGATCCTGCTCTGCTGTGAGTTCCTGTATTGACTTCAGTGATGAACAGCAATGCTGAAGTGTAAGCCTAATAAATAAACCCTTCCTGCTCAACTTGCTCTTTGGTCATGGTGTTTCATCATAGCCATAGAACCCTAACTAAGACAAACTAGTACCAGAAGTGCGGTTGCTGTGACAGACCTGATCGTGTGTTTGGGAGGACTGTGAAAGGACCCAAATCCTTAGGAAGAGTTCAGATAATCATGAGTGGATCCCAGATATCAGACAGCTGGAATTCTGTTTGCTTTGCTTTGGTTATGACTATGCTAAATTTCTTTTCCTCTTGAAGAAAGAAGATATTTTACTGAAGCCCACAGCTGAAGACTTGGATTTTAAAACACTTTGTATTTTTAAAGAGATTGGCTATTTTATTTTATTTGGTTTTTCGAGACAGGGTTTCTCTGTAGCTTTAGACCCTGTCCTGGAACTAGCTCTTGTAGACCATGCTGGTCTTGAAATCACAGAGACCCACTTGTCTCTGCCTCCCGAGTGCTGGGATTAAAGGTGTGCGCCACCACCGCTTGGTGAGATTGGCTATTTTAAAGGAACTTAAATTTTAAATATGTTAGAATTTATAAAGGCTGTGGGACTTTTAAAGTAATTTAGGATCTTGGGGATGAATAAAAAACAACTTAACAGTGACGAGACTAAGTGTCAAGCTGACAAGGGGTCAGTGGTACTGGGTGGTTTTGTGTGTCAACTTGACACAAGCTAGAGTCATCAGAGGAAGGAGCACTGAAGATAGTAAACAAATACTCTATTACCTTACCCAGACAGTACTTTACATTTAGGAAACATTTTTATAGTTGGCTGACCTAAAATTAAAATACTCAGTCTAAACAGCAGTTATTCAGGAAGTGATCCTCTCATGTTAGCCCAACTACCCAGGGTTCTGCAATAGTTATCTGACACACTGGCTCAATAAAAGAGAAGAAAATAATGGCCTACCTGAACAAAAGAAAGAATCCATAAATTTCGAAGATCATGCCTATCAAAGGCCAACCAATAAGGACCACGAACACACCACCCAGGAAAAATCCAGTGGCCTTCACTTTTTGTTTCTGGAAGAAGAATCTGAATGTTCTTTCAAGACCAATTACAAAAGCCAAGCCAGCCACAAACAGAACCTAGGAGAGAAAGACAAGCAACACAAACTGGGTTAAACACCCCATAAAGTGAAGAGCATGGGGATAAAGCAGTCTGCTTGGCATCTGCTGTGTGCACTGCCAGAGTCCTGCGTGTACGTCCTGCAACAAAGCCAGGCGTGGGGCGCACATGCTGGAAGTCTTGGCTGTCTTCACCAGCCTCACTCCTTGTCTAATCTCATGCAACGGAGAAAGATGATGAAATGGGACAAAGGGACCACCATCGGCAGCAGTTCCCCAGCTTTGCTGGATAGGAAAGGAAACAGCTTAGTCAAGCAGACAGCTGGCAAGGCCTGGAAGGCCACTTGCTTTAATTTGTCACCAAATGTAGTTCCTAATTCTGCAACAGTCACCTTAGTGTGTAGGGGTTTCTATGGGTGGGTGATTTGGGTGGGGGCTATGCAGTCAGCAGAGGAACAGTGCAAAGCCAGGGAGAAGAGCCCAGCAGCAGAAGAGACACACACATGGATAAGAAACTGTGTATGAAATACTTCCCCCCACTAGCTTTCCTCAGGAAAATTACTCTTTACCTATACACACCAGGCCTACCTGCTAAGTACCACATTCCCAGACAACAGCGCTATTAACACCACCAGATGAAAATACCAACTTTGTTATCCTTTCTCTTTTCAATTAAAGTAGGCCACAACTCCAAAATCATCTCAACATTGTTGAGTGACTTTTCCACCTTCTCACAAGAGGTGTTCCTTCCTCCTAGAACCCAACACATTGATAGGGGGTACACAGCAAACAAGCAGAGTGCACCTTTTTAGTGAAGTCAGGACACCTCAAACAAGCACTCCAAGAAATGACATTCATTTGTTCACTTGTTTACCTGCATGTGGGTGGTGCATGGAGGTTAGAGGAAGGTATCTTCAAAGAGTTCGCTCTCTTCTTTTATCATGTAGGTTCCAGGGATAGGTTGGTGGCAAGCCCTTTTACCCACTGAACCATCTCATAACAAGAGATGTACTTTAAAAAAGCTTTTAGGTTATTAAAAATTTGTTTATTCAATTTAATTACATGCACAGTGTGATTAAACTGAAAAGTTTGGTAAATTTAATAGATAAGGGGTTAGCAAGTCATCTTTCTCTCCTTTACTTTTTGAGATAGCACCTTCTTCTGTAGCACCAGGCTTTTAAACTTGTGGCAATCCTCCTGCCTTGGTTTTCTACATGCTGAGCTTACAGGTCTGGGCCACCATGCCTGGCTAGGTCTTCTGACTCCAATTCCTATTCAGGGGCAGCACTCACTTAACTTAATCCAATGTAAATCATACCACAAACACTTAAGAGTGGATGATCAAGTAGGAACCTTTTAAGTTAATCTTCTATTCACAGAGAAAGCTGATGGGGTTCACTGCTGTTGCAAACAGCGAACCTAACAGTCAAGCAAGAAGTCACTAACAGATAAAACTGTTTGATGATTTTAAAATGTACATATTTAAAAACTTACATTTCCAATAGCCAGCAGTGCTTTGTCAAAAAAGAGAATCATTCCAAAGAACAGGAAAAACACTCCAAATCCTGTTAAGCCCATGCCAATTTCTGCAACACAAAGCACATGGTTAAGGCAGGGGGAAATCAGGTCCCTGACAATCCCACAAACACAGCACAAAATCCCACAGGTCCCAATTTGTAGGTCAGCTTCTTGATGGTATCACGATGTCTAACAAAATAACGTGGCATCTGATGTGGGATTCTCCTTTGTATGCTGTGAATACCATTGGTTAATAAAGAAACCTGGGCTTGAGCAGGGAATAGAGGTAGGCAGGGAAAACTAAACTGAAGGCTGGGAGAAAGGAGGTGGAGTCAGAGAGAAGTCATGGAGCTGCCACCGGAGACAGATGTGCTGAAACTTTGCTGGTAGGCCACAACCTCAATGTGATGCACAGATTAATGGAGACGGGTTAAATTAATATATGATTTAGCTAATAAGAAGCTAGAGCTAATGGGCCAAGCAGTAATTTGAATAATACAGTTTCTGTGTGATTATTTCAGTCCTGGGTGGCCGGGATGAACAAGCGGCCCGCTGCTTCAAGCACCAGCTAGATATATGGCCAAATCTAAATCAGGAACAAAATAAAATTTCCAATTCTTAAGCAGGAGAAGGAAAGAAAGACAGGTCTAGACTCAACCTTCGCGCACACGCGCACACACACATATATATGTCTATAGGTTTTAACTATGTCTCCCACAAACATTATACTACCAATGTTTACATGCTTAAGACTAGAACCTGAAATTATAACCTAGCCCAGGTCTTTTACTTGTTCACAAAGACACTAAGACTTGTTAATCAACTACTAGAGACCAAGGGGTGTTGTAGGTACTAAATACAGTGGTGGACACAGTATAATCAAGGTCTACCCTGCATATAAAATGCTTTATTGACCTTACATTTTCTAGATCCAATCTTTTGTCTGAAATCACAGATACACTCTTGTTACTGCTACAAAGCAAAATCTGTCCATCACTTCTCAGTTATCCTGCTTTAGCTGTTAGAGGCTAACTGGCAACCTCCCTCCTTCCCCCTCCAGAATTGCTGTCTATTTTGTGATCTCTGACTCGTTACTTATTATTTTCCCTTCAGCTCTAAATAGCTAAATTTCAGGCAGTCACACACACACAAAAACAAAAAGCAAAATTAAGCAAAGGTCTGATGAGCCAATACTTTATAAACTTTACCTCTCTCTACATCTCCATGGCCCCATTTTTTATATATCTTTCATTTTGTTTCTAAAATTAGCCTCAAAGAATTTATAAGCCCATCTACCATCATTCTAGTTTAAATGTACTTCAGATGCAAATACTAAAATTCCAGGCTAATACTTTCTTGCTCAAACATTTTAGGAAAATTTACTGAAACTAGAAGCAAGTGAAATTCTACTAAGCAACAATTAATTAGGGGCAAATCAAAACAGCCAAATTATCTAAAATGTGACTAACTTCTTGTGTTCATAAATTATCTTCATAACTACACAAAATCGGAGATGTTTGTTTATAGAAGAGGAAACCAAGCCGGTAAAGTGGCTGCTGTGCAAGCATGAGGATCTGAGTTCAGATCCCAGCGGTGGGAAAGGAGACAGGAGGATTGTAAAGCTCACAGGCAGGCTAGCTAAATCAGTGAGCTCTAGGTTCAGTGAGAGACCTTGTCATACACACACACACCCCATGGAGAATGATTGCAGAAGGCATCCAATGTCAATTTGGCCACAACTGTGCATGCACACACAGAGTAAAAGTGTTTCCCAAATGGTGCAATTTAAAAATCAAGAAGGAAATTAAATGGAAATACAGTTGCTATGCGCTGAGAACTTGACAGGAGTCAGGCACTGTGAGGTGTTTCCCATGGCACACATGCCATGCAACCCTCCCAGTAACACTGGAATGTAGGCACAATCACATCACTTTAGGGAGAGAGGAAGATGGGAATTTACGCTTCCCCAAATCAAACTATGGTTAAGGATTTGAACCAGGTCTAATTTAACCATTATATTTAAATATTTGTACCCACAGTTTAAAAACATATTTATTAAACTCAAGGGTACAGGACTGCACAAGTTTAATCTCAGTCTAGAACAGCCCAGTAGGTACTAAAACTATTAAGGGTTAAAGAGTGGCCAAAGCTGCCCCATGTGGCTCATCACAGTGCAGTGTCCATTCGCATGCCTAGTGATTCCTTGAAGAGAGAATCAATGGCTCAAGCTCCCCACAAGCAACTGATCACTGACTGCTGTAAGTGGGTGGATGGACTGCAGATCTAGTCTTCTCAGCTCACTATCCTACTACAGCCCAGACCGACTGTCAGAGGGGCAGCTGCCTGTGGACTCTGCCCGATGAGCACTAGCACAATGCTGCCAGGAATACTGCACTGAATGGGTCCAGGAATACTGCACTGAATGGGTCCAGGAATACTGCACTGAACGGGTCCAGGAATACCCCACTGAATGGGTCAGAAATCCTCGCCACACCTTTTCTCATCTCCAGATCAATCCATGAGTTCTCTAAGTCAAAAGGCCTATATGATGCAACCATCTTTCTGCTAGGCTCATACTTGGGAAAACATAATATCCAATCTTCATTTTTTTCTGCCCATAAAAAGTAAATTTTGATATAAGCAATCTGAGAGGTTAAATTAGATTACATTTTATTTTTTTAAAGAAGTCTACTTTAAGAAATTTTATAAAAAAACTGACCAGTTTAACTTAAGGTCAATCACAGCTGACATTTTAGTGACAGTGACATATCACAAAAACTGAGAGTGGCCCTTCTTTCCCTATCATGCCCTTTAAGAAACAGGTAACTTCAACCAGGTTCCAATCTCAGTAAGTCAAATACACAGCTACATTTGATTCAGTGTGACAAGCCGATGTAACATAGAAGCTGTTCCTACTGCAAGCCTAGGCATTTCTTTAGGCACTGCTAAAGTACTGTATAGTGCTGTATAGTGTCTTAAGTCAACCATGAGCTGTCACCCACCCTTCTTAGAACTGAAAGCCCTGAATCATGGTGGCATCTCTCTGGGATGACGGGTCCAATCTTGCAGGAAACACAGGTTCAATCTGAACCGAAAAAGCTCTGGTTCTCTAACCATTGGCTGTATCTCACCATCTTACCTCAGGCACCGGATAAGGGAACATAACAGAATTTCACCCTTCCAAGAAATTTGATAAAATGAGGTGGAAAGTGGCTTTTCCTTCAGACTGCAATTCCTTATTTTTGAGACTGAAGGTCTCTCTGCCTTGTGCACATGGTAATTTAAATACCACAGACTTGTATCATTCCCAGGTGTGAATATTTACATCCAGTCTCCTTAGAAGTCAGCAGTACAGTGGAAAGAACAAAGGTTTTCTGAGCCAGCAGTCTTGGGACCATGGCCTTTTCTCTCTCTCTGTGCGCGCGCGCGCACACACACACACGCACGCACGCACGCACGCACGTCTGTGTAAAACTGAATGTCTTACATGCTCCAGTTCATAAATGGTCTATGTCTGTCATTCCATGCTCATGCTATCTCAAACTCAATAAAGCCAACTGCTCTTCCAGAGGATCCGAGTTTGGTTCCCAGCACCCACACAAGGCAGCTAACAATGACTGCTTGTAACTCCAGCTCCAGGTGACCTGTCCTATGGCTGTGATCTCCTCTGGGACTCACATGCATATGCCCATACAACTACAGAGACACATTAAAAAAAAAAAATCAAGCCACTGTTATCTATATATCTACATCTTACATTAAAATGAAAAAAATCACACAAACGTTACTAATAACAATAGGGAATAAAAGGAATAATTGTATTTTTGATTAGAATCAAAAGAAGCTGATAAGCCAAAAATGAGCAACACTACTGGTCTAGTCCAAATCAAGCACTGCGTGGGTAGGACTGGGCTGCCAAGTGTATAGGGAACCAGAGAGGATCTGTGACATTCCGGTGCACCAGGTCCGGAATTTAAATCTTCACACTCCACTTGAGAATACCTCCAAGGAAGGTTTCGTTTTATTTCAATGGGATGTTAGAATCTTGAAAATCTAAGGTGACTAGAGTAATGAGGGGTGAGGCAGAAAGAGGTCATGTTCGCCAAAAATCTTCAGAAAGAAAACAGTTTTGGTTAAAAAAATAATGGAGATGACAAGAAAAGGTAGAAATATGAAAACGATGGAGCCGGTACACAGTTCAATTGGTTCACAGAACACTTGTCCAGTATGCTCTGATCTCTGGGGCCACAAAAAAGGCAAGACGGCAAAGCTCATCGGAATGATGAGATAGGTAGAAAGGGATGCTAAAATAAAACAGGCTACAAAGTATAGTACACAACAACACTTATAAGGAAATCCTTTACCTGTAATGACTGGCAGGGTCGCTCATACTTGTAATCTCAGAACTTTAGAGGCTGAGGCAGAAGGATTACAAGTTGGAGGCCAGCTCGTACACAAAGAGCGAAAGGCCAGCCTCATTTGCATACACAGTGTGATCCTGATTCCTGACCGAGGAAACTAAAACACCGCTCCCAACAAAAGTCAACGCTCTGACTGAGTGAGCGTCAAGGGACCTTAAAATTGGCAAACTCGGTTGGAACGTAAACAGGCAGAAAACTCAAGTCCTTCCTTGCAAAGTAATTTGGGGGAAGGTTGCTAACAGCAGTACCGGGGAGGCAAATCATCACCGCTCCCTACGCCCCAAGCCACCTCAGCCTCGCAGGAGCCCGAGTGCAGGCGGGCGGTCCCCTTCCCGCCGCCCCGGAAACTTTGTCCGCTGGCGGCTCCACTCGAGCCGCAGCAGGCCGACCGTCCTCCGGTCGGGCCCCCTCTTCCCTCCCTCCCTCTGTCCCGCAGGCCGCCGCCCCACGCCGCGCTCGCTCCATTCATTGCGGGGCGGAGCAGAGGCTGCGGCGGGAGCGCGGCCGACGCAGGGCCCCGGCAGCGCTTACTCTGCGTGT